AAGCAATAACACCGCATCATTTCATTGTTTAAGAAGATGTTGAGGGTAAGCGTAACTGCTTTTTATCTGATCACTATCCAACAAACCTTTTTGGTATGATAGGAACTCGGGGAATTAGCGTTCCACCAACATAGCTCGATGAGTCATTGTGATATACAACCCTGAATAGCAGGTTAGCGTAGCAGCTTTTTGTCAGGTGTTTGCTAACCTTCATGTGTAGGTTCTCAATTGCTTTTACTGCCATTTCTGCATCAGACTTAAAGCCATGTCAGGTTTCCTCAAGATGAGCATTACTGTCATGTTCAGATAAATGCTTAGTCAACTCCCACCTGAATACGTACTTGTTGTCCTCATATTTTACTTGTTCCCTGCGACCAGTAAGGTTCAGACATACACGAGCCCGTACTAGCAAGTGACCGAAGTCCAAACTGGTACTCCAGAAAGAACGGTAATCGTCCACCGACCCTCTCTAACGATGGCTGATAGCAGTATTATCTATCTGTACCCATCATTTGTTTGACGTCGGCGGACGCTGTGTGAGACAGTATCTTGCCTTATGCCTAAAGTTAGTGCTGGCCAGAATCAAGTGATTGCCGGAATAGAATTGCAACAGGCAATCACCATTGTCGGTTCGTTGGCGTAGGGTTCCGTAAATACCTCCAAGATGCCTTTCCGAATAGCTCAGCCTTCCTACTTCAGCGATTAAGTCATCTGTCATTATGATTACATCTGAACGTTTAGCTTTCTGCAGCAAAATTGACAGCCTTTCATCATACGAACTGCAGTCAATGAGCGCATGGACGAAGATTACGAACGGGCATCGGCTGGTCTCATGATCCTGGCATATATATATATATATATATATATATATATATATATATATATATATATATATATATATGTTTTTGGAAATGCTCTTACCAAGCCATACGACTCACTATCGTGATGAACTTTTGACTTATCAACAATGAACATAAGTGGTGGGCTGAGTAAATTTTTGGCTACCAAAAATACTTCATCAAATTACTTCTTGTTTACTTGTTTTAACCATTCAAATGTCAATAAGTCATAAAACATACTCTTACACACTCCTAAAATATCTTCAACCTATCGTTTGATTGGTTAACAAGACTATGGGAAAAGAAGAGAGTAGATAGCAGTTAGTGCCTGAACGTACAACAGTGAATCAAACAGCTATTACAAGAATAGCAAATTTTTATAACCGATGAATAAAACTCCACCACCAAACTTAGGTATGCTTTTCTATCTGACCCACGTACAACAACTTACAAACTAGACGATGACCTAGAAATTACTGGGTTTTGTTCATTACTACTTATCATACCGTTATTATTTATATTATTTAACTGCTGTGGTAACCTCGCTCGGTTAACTAGTTCACTAGTTACTAGCCGGTCCTAAGGCCGGATAAATAGGGAAGGTTGGGCATAGCATTGAGATAGCAATCCCACCCAGTAAAACCAATCCAATCTCTGAGGAAACTTCAAAACATAACGAAAATAGTAGGAATGAAAACAAACTTATTCCTCGCTGGAATCGGAAAGACGAAATGACGTCGGTTGGTGAAAGCCTGTCTTCGGGAAGCCAGTCGGTCGATGTGTCTTCTCTCGCTTGATGAGAGTGAAAGTAAGGATGGGGACATGGAATGTCTGCACCATGTATGAACCTAGTGAGGCTGGCCAGATTGCAAAAGAGATGAGGAGGTATGGCATGGAAGTGCTAGGAATCGGCGAAAGCAGATGGAATGGAAGTGGACTCTCCAAACTGTCAATTGGTGGGTCAATAATCTATTGCGATATGGCCACCCATACGACAACCACGAGCACACTGAGTTTTCGAGTGGCTATCATGATGTCTCCAAGACCATCGAAGGCTCTCATGCAGTGGGAACCAATCTCCTCCAGGATCAGGATCATGACAGCAAGGTTCAACTCGAAAGGAAGGAAAGTCACAATCATTCAGTGTTAAACACCAACAAATAATGCTGGTAATTGAAAGGAGGAGGAATTCTACAAACAACTGGAATCAGTACTAGACAACACTCTAATTGGCGACATTAAAATTCTAATGGGTGACATACATGCTAAACTCGGAGCAGACAACACAGGAAGAGAATTCATCACAGGTCGAGAAGCACTCGGTGGAATGATGAATGAGAACGGAGAACCGATTGCAGATTTCCGTGCATTTAACGATTTCGTTACGTAATTTGAAAATATTGTACACGAAGTAAATTTTCTGAAATATCACGCTGGGAACACAAAACTGTATTAAACGTTATTGTCTAGAATTAAGTGATTATTATAATTATTGGTTACTCTCCAGTGAGTTGGCCAGTCAACGTAAATATCCAATTAGCGATGCCCGCAAGTATAGGAGGTTCCTGTATGGTCAATAATTTGCATAACACATTGTTGTGTTATGACGCGATTCGACAGCTCAAGAGGATCACGTTATGTGTCATGCATGCGATACATATTGCTTCGGCTCGTTTCCAGAATTTGAGCAAGTCACCTTATTCTAGAGCTGTTGTACAATACGTTTAATTAACCAAAGAATCTCCTAGTTAACACAAGGAATGATGAAATAATTTCGGAGTAAATATCATACAATTGAGTTTTGTTATTAAAAGGTGTTTATCATATGGGATTTCAAACACAATTTCAAGGGAAGAAACATTTGCTATTCTGCGAAATGAATCGCAGCTAATACAAATGCACTGCATGAAAAAGGTTGCTGTGGATTATAAAAGGTGAATCACCTGGTCACTAAAAGTTCAACAATATAACAGCGTATACATCATTACTCCTTTGTTTTCTATGACGCGTTCACAATACTGAAACATAGAGTCATAACGATGCCGCCTACACATTATATATTCCATCATAATCGTCAGGATTATAAGGTAGCAGTTGAAAATGCTTAAATTTCAGGTCATTCAACCCACACATTTCACATTGTGAACTCAACTCACATAGTCACATCTTTACATAAACAGTAAGTAGTACACAGTTTCCAACATAGTTTACGGCTTCAAATATTTTCTCTGAAAAAACAATTTCTTATCATTTCTTCTACATTTTGATGGTGATGGTAATAGTGTATGATAATTAGCATACGTGTTTCATAAAGGATTAGACGTGAGAAAGTGATTGGTTCATCAACGCTTCATATCAATGTATCATTCCTGGAATCGCTCTCAGTAATCAGAATGAAGAAGTCACCTATTCAGTGGGAAGGTTTGATTTGGAGGAACCGTCTCCTCATCGTTTTCTGAAAGAAGTAATTTGGAGGTGAAACACGTATGCTAATTGTCATACACTATTACCATCACCATCGAAATGTAGAAGAAATGATAAGAAATTGTCAATTTCTCATAGTTTTGTTTCCCTCGAAGTCGACGTATGCCTTTTTTCGATACGACCATACTTTGAAGTTATCTGTGACTGTACTGATGACTATTTGCTTAGTGTGACATTTGGATGTAATTTTCATTTCCTTGTGATAGCTTGGTGAGATAATCATATTGCTTATGTAGTGTATAGCTTTCTAAATTTCTATTGAAGTTTCACATGGGAATCTCTAATGTTACAAATGAAAACGTTTTTATGTATTTATGACTTCATGTACCCACCTTTTTGGCTGCGTTCGACGTCTATTCTTTTCTAGTTTTTTTGACGGAAGTGAATTTTCTGCGATGTGATATGAATGTAGGCAATTTCTTTGTTCGTATCATAAATATTATATGGAACATTTAATAATTAGACTAGAATGTAATTTAAATCCAACATAGTCCTGAAATTTTAGCCTTGCATTTTCCCCTAGGTTTAATATCTTTCAAATTCATTCATAAAATTTTTTATTGGTGGGATAGTGATTCTAACACTGACGATAACTTTTAACTTTTACTCGTGATTATTGGTTCATTGATTACGTGAATGTCACGAAAGCTTAAGTTTTCTTTTTTGATTTCTTATGGGAGGTGTCGCATACTAGGAAGAAACAGCTGTCCAGTTCTCCCAAGTTTACTGTTTTTCTCTAACTGATTGCAGTCCATGATGGATGTCATCTTGAAATCAATAAATAAATCCCCACAAGCCTGAGACCTGAAATTTAGAACTGTCTACGTGGGACTATATCCACCGTGGATTTTGAACCAGCTGACTGTACTCGGAAGCAAATGGAAAAACACTGCTAGACAGCATCCCATTTATTAACAAGGAAATAACTTTAGGTGTTTGCTATTTCTTCTATTAATCATAGGAATTAGTCAGTGAAAAGTATAAAATCCTTGTTTTCTGCCAGAATCGAAAATTCGTCTCTACGGTAATGAAAACAGGAAACTTGTGTGGTATTTTCAGTTTTCTTATTTATTCATTCACAATTCCTCCTTTCAGGACATATTATTTGAAGCAAAACGGGATTCCTTTTAGTATTTAAGTCTGTGAAGCCAAGAAGTAACTTGATAGGTTAATTCATCGGTTTAACTTGTTTAGAGATGAAATTTTCGCCTAACTGGCAATCATTAACTGATTTGCTCAATTCCGATTGGTTGAAAAGAAATATTTCTTCGTTGATACATGCCTTGTTCTTGTTAATGAATAAATGGGTATATTTCGTCAATTCCGATTACTTCAAAAAAGTTAATTATTACATTGTGTTCACATGTTCTACATTATCTTAGAGCAGAAGGTAAACTTGGAAGCAAAATCGACTTTCGTCATAGTCCTACTAAACTAGTCAATCATATTTGCACATACGTCGTAAGTCAAATGCAGATGACGTGGCATTCATTTACATTTCATTTTGATGGTCACATGAATTAGCCTGTCTGTAATTTTAATGTAATGTGATTTATCCAATCATTGACTGAGTTTATTATTTCAATGTTACCAATCATTGCTGTTTGACCTTGAAATAGGCAGATAAATTTATTGATATGCTGAAATTTGGCTACTATTGTCAGGGCTCAGAAATCTATGATGATTCGGTTGCCTAGTTCAATACCGATTATCGATGTACGCGTTTTGGATGCTGATGATCAAGAAAATATCTGGAAGATATTGAAGTATGTTTTCCCGTCATGGTCAGAAAAATATACTAAAGTCCAGGTACAGTATTTAATGTTTTAACTTATAATGAATTTTTAATCACCTTAGGCATTGGAAGAGGGATTATCTAATACAGTGCTTCGATTTGATTATGATAATAAAGAAGATGCACCGAAGAGTATTCTAATGCGAATACGAAAGAAATTGGTTGATTCCATTCTTAACAGATGGGATGAAATAAAACACATGTGCATACTTCATCAACTTGGTAATGAACAAGAGTTGTATGCAGTCTTCCAGAATGGTTTAGTATACTCATTTCTTCAAGGATCTACAATACATGTGGATAGGTTTTCAGTGCCAGAGTATAGTGAGTAAGTGTATCATTGATATGCATAGTATTTTCTCTCCTGGCTGTAATTTACATGTTTTGTCTTGAAAACTGATTAACATGGTGACCACATTGCGAAATGATCGATAGAATTCGATTAACTTGTAAGACTAGACAACATGAAGTTGGTTACCGTCCAGTTGCCAATCATTTCACCTAATCCAGTCCTATAAGAGGTCGGTCGCAACCCAAATAGCGTATTGGTAACGTCTCCGAATACAGCACTGGGTGACGCTGGTTCGGATCTTAGGCGGGACAACAGTTCTGTAGAGATTGCGGATACGCCTTGTTGACCAGTGCCAAAAAGCAATAAACCTAGGTTCAGGGATTCCTGCTGATTAATGTTATTGCTTCTATTATCCCATCTTTGAGTGGGGCGAATTGATCTGTGCCTATTGGCATATGGGCTCCTGCGGGGATGCTTCGATACAGCCTGTGATAGAATTATATGTTAATGATGGATAGTAGCTAGCAGCGGAGTCCTGGACGGGCGTTTCGTCCCATGTGGGATTCGTCAGCTGGATGTATATGCCTCCCAGTAAGCGATGTTGTTCCCAACCGCTTCAAACGCCAGAGCGTTATCCGTTATCCATCATTAGTATATAATTCTGTCACAGGCAGTATCGAGGCATCTGCGCAACAGCCCACATACCAATGGAGACCGGTCAATTCGGTCCACTCAACGACGGGATAATGCAAGCAACAATATTAAAACTCGGTGGTCCAGTAGGTAGCGCTCTGGAGTTTGAAGCAGTCGGTTTTTGAGTTTGAGTCGTAGAGGGGACAACATCGTTGATTAGGAGGCAGGTACATCCAGATGACGAGTCCCAAACAGGAAGAGACGTACGTCCTGAATTCCACTGCTAGCCACTATCCATAATTAATATATACTTCCTACCGATTGCCTCCATTCAACTGGACTGTTTTTTCTCACATGTCAAGTGCCTTCATACTTCGTGGAATGTTGATTCTAGTTGTATGACTGTTATTCATCAATGTCTGTCTACAGACAAACCTGGTATATAAGGGATAGGGTGATTTATTCTCAAACTGTACTGTCTTATCGGTGTGTCACGCATTTTAAAAATTAATATTTATCGAGTCCACACAGTATCGTGTAGGCGCTTCACAAGTTTCAATACTGTAAATGTGTCAACAATTAGTAAAATGAATTAAGTCCATATTCGAGCGTAGTATGTCAGAAAAAAGAACAGCTTCCACGTCTCACCTCATTATTTCAAGAATGGTACTGGGTACCACAGGAACGGGTATTTCTATGAAATTACTTAAACTTACTTTAGTGCTGCCTTGTAATGTCCTGTCTCAACCTAATAAAAACTGATAAAGCCTAATGAACAAAAAATATTCTCTTCAATAACTTCCTCCTTAGGTTCTACAGTTATATGTCCACAATGTTTAATCAAAGAAAGACTGTATATTAAGAACAGTGAAGTTTTATACAAACATTCTATGATTGGTATCGAATAGTCTGAGAGTTCTCTTAAGAATAGATTCATATGAAAGGCAATATCAGTGTTAAAAATTAATGAAATCCAGTTCAGAATAATTAACTGTGCAGATGATAATATCTGTTACGCAATACTAAACAGTCGAAATTACTTTTCTGTCTGCGTTGCTACTCAAAGTAAATGGTTATGAACGACGGTGAATTTTATAGTGTTGACAGATTGAGATTAGAGGTTAGAAGCAATCTTGTTTACTTCGATAATGAACTGCATACGAATAAAATCTAAGCGCGTGGAGTTGTGGGACATTGGTTTAGGGAAATGACTTTCAACCAGCCAGTCACGGATTCGAACACCGCTCCACTTACCAAGGTTTAGGTAACTAGGTAGTGTCATCAGCCCTCACACACTAGGTGTGGCTCATTATCTACTGCACGGGTGTACACAAGGTAGGTGAGTAGATTTCGATTCCAATCAAAATCTAAGGGTAAGTAGGCGAGGGGAATGTGAAATGTGTTTGTGAGTTTTGTGTCAGTGCATGAAGTCCTCAACCGTTGGGCTGTGCAGTGCGTAGAAATGTAGACTCGTACCTAACTGGGGTACTCGAGACGATAGGAATCAGTGGTTTAGAACCATTAGTGACAGCTGAAAACCAGTTGCAGTAGTGCAGATGTATTCACTCTTCGACGTCTTGTAAATCTTGAATACTTGCACTAAGCGTTGCCTGCAGATTTATTATTCTCTCATGAAAGTTTATCTGCTTTGATATCACTTTCTCTGTTCACCTGTTGTATATATACTATTGTGAAGTGTGGCAACTTGAGCTGATGCATCACTCTTGCGCGAGGTTCTACGTTGATATTATTTCTCTGGGTTTCGTTTGAGAATATTGGTGTATCTGTGTGTATTTGTTTGCGTGAAAAAAGTTGCTCAAAAGAACAGGTTAAGCTGTACACGTGTATTCTGCGAAAAGAAATGCGATAAATTTTAATAATGACAATGATTAGGAGAAGATGTACAAACGGTTTGTAAGTTGACAACTGCAACAGCTGACGTAATAGGGTGCTTGTATACTTACAACACTGCCTTCTATAACACTGACTGATTTTTTCTGCTATTTATACCCCAGAGACCACGCTGGTTATGAGAACATTCACAATCAGATACAGTAATTATTTCTTACTTGTAATCTGCCTTCGCCATGGTCGATCGAATTGCTCAACCTCTGTTGACAGATGGTCTCTTATTCGGAGGCCTCATTACCACTAGATAGATATTCATGACGTGGTATTCATGTTGGTGGTTAGTAGCGGAATCTAGGACGCGCATTTCGTCTTATTCGGGACTCGTCAGTTGTATCTACCTGCACCCCAGTGAATGTTCTGGTCCCCACTGGACTCGAACCCGGCACCCATCGCTTCAAATACCAAAGCTTCATCCACTAGGCCACTGGAGCATGATAGCCACCTCTTGTGAGACGGGCATCAGTCATATTTTAGGTACTTGCAGCTCCCCATAGCTTTACAGGGTCGAATTGCTCAAGATGATAAGTATAACATTGTGAATATCCGGCAGTATCGAGGTATCGTCATAGTACTCTGTCTGTCGACAGAGGTCGAGCAATTCGACCCCGTATAGCAGCGGGGAACTACAGGTATCAAAACAAAAAACCAAACTCTGTTGGCATCCACGTTTATGTAAATGTTGTGAGCGATGATTAATATCTATTATGTAAAGGCTAATGATAAGGTCTGGTTGTCGAGACCTCTGTTGATGGAGCGGGATTTGAACCCATGGCCCACTGTTTGAAAGCTTACTGTCTTGACCTACCAACCACAGCTCTACAATTAGATGTTGAGAATCGATTAACATGAATCTCTAGACCTACTTCTACTGCTTTTTGGCACTTATCAGAAAGATTTGTCTGCAACCGCTAGAAAACAACTTTCCCTCGGTGGTAACGACCTATATCACTTAGTTCTGAAGTCAGAAACTTTACCAATATGCTTTTCCAATCACAAATGCGTTAACGTACTGCGGTTTGAAGAAATTTTTAGATTTGTTAGTTCAAAGAATGATCTTTGCAAGTTTGTTTATTAGCTACCGTTGCATCTTTTACTTCGATACTCTACAGAATTTCTGACCAATTTAATAATTATATTTATGCAACCATTAGCCATGGTTATTATTTAAATGGTTAAATATTGAAATGTTTGCCAAAACTATCATTAAATCAACTGCAGTCTGTTGGAGAGAGGTATATTTCAGTATAAAATGCTGTACAAAGATAAACAAGTACAAACAAACGTGATCTACGCGTAGCTAAATCATTAACAATTTATAATCTTCAACCTAATTTTTAAGTTCAAGAATACTGCTTACCCTCATTGAACAGTAGAATTCAATCAGTACTCAAGACTAGATAACATGGAATTGGTTCCTCTCCAGATGGTGTATAAGGATTACCTGTTTGAAAGCTAATGTGAAATGACGTAAAAGTGATCTCCTCCACGAATGTGTTAGTTAAATCTTTTCATTATTATTTGTTGTCTTTTATCGTACTACTGTTAAGTAAACCGACTTTAATCAACGCATCTATGAATCTCGGCTTTATATTTACTTGTCAAGACGTTTTAAAACGGCTGCCTTACAATATTAGTTTGCTCTAAAAAGAGGTCAGTGTAACGGGTGTATGAGAGTTATCGACTACAGTCAGTAGTAATAATAATAGCTTGTTAGCATGTAATTTTCTAGCAAAGTCACTCCCAGAAAAATATTTTCAGACGAAATGACTTTAACAATAATAGTCTTCAAGGCAACAATATTAAACAGTCAGCTGGTTTTCCATTAGCGTCCGGTTCATAACAAAGAATCAACAGGAACTCGGGTGTAAGTTCGGTAGTGGTGGTTCATTCAGCCAATACAAGAATCTGCAACTCAAATGAAAAGTTCGCTTCCGTATAAAGTGACATTTTATCTCTGTTTTCTCATTTAATCGAGAAATGGAGAGTTGAAAACATTTTTAAAATGTTCAAAAGTACATAATACATTCAGAGGATATATTTTAATGATTAAAACAAATTGAAAAGAAAAAATGTGATATATATGTTCAGTGGAAAATTTTGGTAGCCTAAGGTTCAAGTAGCACTCCATGGATTAGCTCATATTCATTTGCAATTTTTCCCGACCACACACTTCAGATCCGGATGGTAAGTCAAGCTTCATATCCATTAAGTGTGTTGATATTTAATGCTATCCATTAGCTAACATGGTCAATAGGTCGTTTTTGGAAAACACCATACCAGCTACATGAATTGATATTAAGATAGTCCCCGTATCTACGTCAGGAACCCCAAGCGCATATCCAAAATTCCGTCCGATTGCAGGTGACTCTCTGTTCTTGAAGATAATGGAGAAGCTAGTAATACTTGTACTCGAACCCTTATTGAAGGCTTTCGGAGACCCTAATCAGTTTGCATATAAGAGCAGAAGAAACACTCTGGATGCCAACACCGTCGTATATCACAATATTGCTTGTAGTCTTAATAGAAATATCAAGTATGTCAGGTGTGTCTTTCCAGACTATACTTTGGCATTTGATTCTGTCCTAAGACCTCTTTTGCTAGACAAGCTAAATGGGACTAATACTGAGTCCTGTATAATCGGCTGGCTGTATTCCTATTTCTCTGAAAGGTAACAGCATACTGCTCATAGAGCAAAAGCTCTTCATCTCATTGCTTACTATGAGTGGTGTTTCTTAAAGAGCCGACTTTCCCTCCTGTCTTCTCTCTTTCCTTCTGCATGACTTACCATCTTCAGCTAGTATCATTTGTATCATATATGCTGATGACCTGACAGTTTCCATACCCGACCTGTCTCCTCTTCAACAGATTGTTCTCAACTTAATGATGTCCTATCTACTGTTAGATGGTGGTCCTCCGTGAATGGTCTTGTACTGAATTCTTCAAAATGTCAGACTATCAACTTTAGTTCCAGATGTAAACATAACCTATGTAAACTGCTTAGGTCGCATGATTCCTGTTCTTTTCATGGTTGTGTGTTAGGGAAATTTACACGTGATTTATCTTGGTGTTTTTTTCTTCGGATGTTTCCTGGTCCTTCCATATCTTACTAATTTCCAAAAGAATTTTCCGCCTAACTCTTCATTGGGAAGCTGAGAGTATTTGATATAACTCAGCCTCTCATATTATGTTTCATAAACTCTAGCATCTTGCCTGCTCCCTTTTATATTTCCCCGCGTCGCTAAAAAGAGACTATGCTATATTACGTAGAACTTTGAAGATTATCAGCAGAACTAGTGTGTATCTCTAAACCTCTTAACTGAAACTGTTTTGTACAAACAAATAAACATTTGGCAGGAGTTATTTTATCAGATGACCAGCATCCTCTTCACTCAAAGCTCTATGTTGCTCATCAGGAAAGACCAGAAGCAAGTACCTAAGACTATGCACGAACTATAAAATATAAGAACTCTACAATACCGTAGTTAGGTCATCTGCTCTCCGATGAAGAAAGTATTAAAAGTGAACTAACTAATCAACTATTTTTGAAAGCAAACTATAAACCTAATTACTAGTGCGGTTGTTTACCTAAATTAAGTGTACATTTTGAAGAAAGTTGTAGATAGAGCGAATATTCTTATCTTTTATATGCAATTTATACTTATTTCCTTTTCTTATATAAAAATATGTTCACTGTCTCTGTCTAGTTGGTGCCATATGACATGCTGAAAATTCTGTACAGTATTCCCGAAGTAGTTTTTAGAACAAAGCCATTATTATTATTATTATTATTATTATTATTATTATTATTATTATTATTAAATGCCGATTGTTCGTTTATATGGATGCATGCAATGCTTAATAAGAGTTATTCATCCATCATATCACCATCATTTTAAAGTGTAAAACGATAATTGGACCCCATTCTGGAACACTGCTGTGTACTGTAATCACGCTTTACCTCAAAAATAGTTCAATCTATGTTAGATCAAGTACAGAAAATAAACAGTTGAAAGGTATCTCTCCTGGATAAAAGCTAAGCAGGTTAAGACGTAATTTACCAAAGACTAGTGAGCTCATATCTTGACAGTACTCACGTTTTCTTTCTACTTTGACCATTATCCTATTACATAATGACTAGTCTGGGAAAGTAAGGAAATCTTAAGTATGAAGGAGGACAAGTCTATTTCACCGACTAGTCTCTTTTTGGGGATTCCATTTTCAAAGCTGTACAATCGTAAATTTATACATTTTTATAGTGTAAGGATTTGATAATAAAGGGGTAAAACTTGGGCACTGTGGTCGATTGTAATTCCATTTTAGTCTGTTTATTAGAAATATCACACAGTGAAACAGTAGCATTTACTGGATAACGTTTCGGACATAATTTACTGCCCATATTCATATCAGCACGTAACTCCACAACTTCGAAACAGAGTTTATATATTCTTAATTTTCTCTCCTCTGTGTAGAAGAATTTTCCATATATCTGGGACAGGTGCAGAACCATATCGGTTGCATGTACTTGGTGTTGATTCGATAAACAGATAATCGGTTATCAGTCTCTCCCTCCCTCCACCCAACTAACTTAGTTTTTAACGCTGCCGCTCTATCCCACCCAACTGTGTGATTGTGTGTAATTGCCGGCAGAGATATACCCGAGCTTTCCTCTAAATTTTTTTTTCTTATTAGGATCTACTGATCTTGATTTAGTTACGTTATTTTAATCGACCCTGGTCGACTACTTTCACTTATGTATTTGACCTTGCAATCATTGCAAGGGATTTGGTAAACCAGATTATTTTGCTTAATTCCATTGACAAGATCTTTTAGCCTACAAAGCTTGTTTCTAAGTGAATTTGTTGGTTTAAATGCCATTTTAATCCCAGCTAGCCTTATTGAGAATTCTTCCTAATGCTTCTGAAGTGCCTTCCTTGTATGGTATCACAGCACAGGCTTTGAATTCTCTCTCAACCCTGTCACCATTAATACCATTATTAGTGGAATCGTTATTAATAACATCTGTATTACTACTACTACTACCACTGCTAATATTTTTCTTTTGATTTCTTATGGATTTACTTATAAATTTAGGTGTGTAATTATAAAGACACAAGGTATTCTTGATGTATCTAATTTCTTGTCGTAGATTTTCCTGTCTACTAGTGAGCTTTTTCGCCCTATCACTTAGGCATTTGACTCATCCTACTTTAAGTGAAATGAGTTTGGAGGATTTGAAGTCTAAGTAGCGATTCAAATGCGTAGGTTTCCTATAGACACTAGTCTCTAGACTTCCGTTCTGTGTTCATTTAATCTTGTTATCCAACATTACTAGCTCACCTTCTTCAAAGTCACAGGTAAATTCGACTGCATTCACTACTGAATTTATATGTGCCAAGAATCTATTGAAGTGTTCCAATTTCAGTGCTGTAAACGTATCATCTACATATCGGAACCATACTTTTCGAGTAGGATTAAATGTTTGAAGGCCCATCTGTTCCCAACCATCCATAAATATGTCTGCGAGGATGGTGGATATTGGTGATCCTATGGCAACGCCTTCAGTTTGTTTATATATTTTATTTTGAAAGTTAAAAACTGTAGATGTTAAGCACAATCGTACTCCTAGTATGATTTCCTAGATCGGCACTTTAGTTCGATGCGTAAGTTCGCTGTTGTCCTTAAGTCCATTTCTACAATCGCAAATTTATACATTTTTCCAGTGTAAGGATTTGATAGTTAAAATCGTTTTGTCAAGTATGACAGGCAACACAAATAGTGTCACTAAATGAGCTCTCATCAAAATCAATAAATTGATGAGTAGTGAATATGAATCAAAATAAGTTTGGACACGAAGACTTTTCGTATCATGACGATATAATTGGAAGGTGAATTGTGATCAGGCAGAGCATAGCAGCAAGAATGAGTGGCAAATTACTTCAGAAGTGAATAGTGTCAAAAGAGAAAGATGAAAAGAAAGGGTGGGAGGGGTTGTAGGGGATTTCAAAGACTGAAAACTAAGACCATGAAAGGAGAAGGGGTTGGACAATCTTCTTTTGTGTACACAGCTCAGGTTTCTCCGTAAGGATGACAAGAGCTTCGGCAATACAGGGAATACTAAGACATACAGACTTTGGGATGTTTCCTTTCACTTTATAGATGACTTTGAACAAGGAGGTTCTTCAGATAGCGTGGTTCATGTTCACGATATGTTCAATTATAGCACTCCTTATCGCTTTCTCGTAACCTCTTTGTAACCACGCGGGACAGTGTCGCTGAATCCTTTTGGATAACAGTCGCATCGAACGATCTATATACCTGGCTCCACAGGACCAGTTGAATTGATATATGCACATAGAAGTGGTCAGATGTTAAAGTTTCTCCTTTGAATTGTTTGAAATCGTTGGGAGACAAGAGAATACTAGTTTCAGTGTTGATGAGAAGGATGTTCTCCTAAGAGCGTGTCAGCGGCAGAATCACCTTTGAAGTTTAGGTTTATATAGAATGTCTTTCTTGGCATAGTAGTAAGATTCTCTTTGCGAGGTTTAGGTTCGATGTGTTTGTTTGTGAAGCGTGGTGGGAATTCTTTTTCAATCAGGATGTTCTTTAGAACACAAATTTCCACTTCTAACACATCGGGACTGCAGATTCATCTTGTGTGAGTGGCGAGAGATATGATCAAAGTTCGCTTACTACTCATAGGAACCCATCTATTAAAGTTCATTATTTGACCATTTCACATTGGTTTTCTGTGAATTGATCTTCTTAACGTTTCGTCAACTATTCTTGTCAACTCTATATCAGGATAGTGAATTTTTGATCGATTTCCAACCTCAAGAATGAATCCAATTGCTGAATAGCAGTTATTAACAGTAATCATTTATACTGCTTACATTATATTATGTAACCTTGTGTAAATTCATTGATATTGTTTCTTTCATTTATCAGATTAATTATTGATCGATTAGCAAGACTGCATAGTTTGCCAACAAAAGAAGCATTGTTACGTTTGATACCGGAGGAATCAAGAGAAATTGCTGCCAAATCCTATACCCAACCAATCCTTTTGGCAACAATACGAAACTGGATTGATAAACTACCAGTTGGATTCAGTGATTCTCAAAAATTTACAAGGTATTCTTATACATACTAATCATTGGGGGATATTAATAATTCACTTCGTTTTTGTAAATTGTTCATATAGTTTCGATAGGGCGTTTAGCCGAAATAATTAAATATATTATTATTATTATTATTATTATTATATTGGTGTGGTGAATCATGATTACATTACACATGTTAGAGTAACATTTGGATAGCATATGAAGAAAATAATGAGACAGGAAATGCCGAACAGCAGGAAGGAGGGAATAAAAACGAGAAAACTAAGAAACACATAAGTTGAACCGCATTTACTGAGTAACTGTTGTTAGCCATTTACCATCCAGTCATTGAAAGATTTATCGTTTAACGTGGGGATTCGTTTTCATAGGTCAATTTCCAAGGAGAACCTGAACAAAACCGGAAATGAGAAAAACTTGAGCAAGCTCGTCAGACTAAGTGGAGAAAAACTAATAGGAAAGTTTTTTTTGGTTGAAGTGAGCTTTTACGTAATGAGATACAGGGATTTCAGCGAAAATTCATAGTAGGCAGTTGGTTGAACCACCAAATATTTATATACATATTAATATTTAGTCTCTGCCGTCCTGTCTAATAACTACCATCTGTCTTTCTGAGTGTAAGGGACAGCTATTCACCACTTGATCTAAACCATCTTTATTGATTTCGCTAGACCTAGAACAAACAAAGGTTAAATAATACTGTTTCTGAGTTATGTAACTACTGAAGATGAAGGGATACAGTTGGTAAAGTTCATTCTTATTTAATCAGTCATTTCTCTTCATTGCATGATATGCTTTAAATATAACAACGGTGGGATGAAAAAAGTGGGATTATGTAAAATCCCATTTAGATCATCCTACTGCCATTTACAGTGCAGTCAGAAGAAAGTTGAGTTAGGTTCCTTATCTGAGCATTCCAGATGGATCGCTTGCACATGGACTGGGAAGATGAGTTGTATTGGTTCACATCTTTACATGTGATATAACTTATAAAAGATTCTGATTCAAAGAGTTCCTTATAAAGATTTTGGTAGTTGAAGCGCCTGCTTTTGAAAGTCAACCAGATTATCCTAGTGTGAAGTAACCATTTTCAACTGGTTCGTTCTTCAAAGATAGTTCGCGTTGTGTTCTGATAGATATTGATTGAAAAGTTTTTTCTAAATAATGAAATTTAGGAAGAATTTTTAATCTTGTTTGGAATCACCGGCTGTTATCCAACCTCTCTTATGATACAAAATTTAAGAACTTCATATGCCATTGATAGCATGTTCTTACTGAGCCATTTATTGGATTAAAATTCTCAACTTGAATAATTTCACTCTCATCTTTGTTCTATGACTCATTAGATCAAATTGTCAACTTTCAACTACAGGAGTGTAGGTCCGAACCCCTATTTAAATAAACACGATAGGCATAACTCATTGTCTAGTATACGAATCTGTACATAGTTATCGAGTTTCATCTGCATGCATATTTTAGGGTAAGTGGATTTTGATTTAAGCATTGCTGATTCTCAGAGTGATTGTAGGGGTCATCCTAACAACTCAAATTATTATTATTATTTGTCCCTTGGGTTCCTAGTGGAACATAAAGCTTCAGTAGCACGCCTCCATTGCACTCTGTTCTCTGCAGTCTTCAAAACCTGGCTTTACGACTACCCACAAGCTTTCATTTCATCCTCATACCATCTCCTCCATGTCACCCTCCTACACCCAATTTGTCGGTTCCACTCGACAGCATGGTCTAGCACGTGGTGTCCCCAATCGGTCTTCTCAGCGTTTGCCCAATCCAATCCATCTCCACTTTCTTCTGCATATTTGTTGGGTGGTGGGTTCTTGCCTCGTTGGTTCGTTGTCAGGTCAGAGTTCCTGGTTACTTATTCTTTCTGGCCGTCTGATCCGAACTTCAGCATCGAGTGAGCGTGGGCGGCAGCTGTTGTTGTGTGTCTGTAGTTTGCTGGAAATGCTTTTCATGACGCACCAAGTCCTTCAACCATCACATGGAAGCACTGACTTACTTGACTGACTTAGTGTTGAGAATCCGGATCTTGTTTACGCTCATGCTGAGTGCAGTAGATCTCCAAACTGATTTCAGATTAATGAAGGAAGGCCTGTCTTGCTGTCTTTCCGATCCTGGTTTTGACATCCTCGTCTGTGCCTATGCCACCTGTAGTTGAAATGATGCTGCCTCCGAGATAGGTAGGTGAAAGAGACTACTTCCTTTAGGTTTCTCCCGTTAATGGTGATTGATGCTTGTTATTGTTGTTAATTGGGTATCATCTTCACCTGTGTCTACTGTACGTTCACCTGGAGTCCCATCTTCTGTGCCCTGCCTCTTTTATCAACTTGTTAGTTTTCGCCTGTGGATCTTCCAGTTTATGCGACATTCGACATAAATCACCGGTGAAATCCAAATAACCAATTAGCTCTCTTTATTTTGGGTAGGAACGGAAGTTTTCTTCCTAAAATAAAAAAAAGTTATTAACACTTGGTTGTCAACCTATACTCACTTATATTTTTATATCACTTTTGTTGTATTTAGGTTAGCGACTAGCAGTGAAACTCCAGACGCGCGTTTCGTCCCACTTGCGACTCATCAGCTGAGTGTACCTGCCTCCCAGTGAGTGATATTATCCCAACTGAAACTCGAACTCAGTATCCATCGTTTCAAATGCCAAAGCGTTAACTTTTAGGCCTCTGGGTCATGACAATCATATCTTGTGCAACGGATATCAGTTGTTGTTTATTAATGCTTGTAATTTCCCGTTGCTATACAGGGTTGAATTGCTCAAAATGTGGCTATCGTGCCCCCGTAATCTAATGGATTATGCTGTAACGTTTAAAGCGATGACTATTGGGTTTAATTCTCATTAGGAACAACATCACCAACCGGAGTGCAAAAGCATCTAGCTGATGGGTCTCAAATAGGACGAAACGCGCGTCTTGGATTCCACTGCAAGTCATGAAGATGGATACAACACCAAGAATTTCTTACAGTACCCAGGCAGCTGCATATGAGCCTGTCTGTCAACAGAGGTGACCTGGCATAGAAAAGGGAAATTACAAGTATCAGTTTTGATTAAGGAAATATTTATTGTAAATGTGACCACATAACATTGATTGTAATCAATCTGTTCATAAAACAAGTAATAAAACTTATTGTTTTTGGTTGTCTTTTTAATTTAGACTTAAAAATGAATTCCCTTCCCAAACATGCTTGTTAAATGAAGTGTCTTATCTGGAGAAACTGCTGAGTAATGTTATCTCACCAGTCGTATTATGTCATAACGATCTACTTGCAGGCAATATTGTTTTATCCCCAAATGAAAGTAAGTGAGAATATTTTTATGCTTTCCACTTTGTTTTGATTGTTTATTCTTGTTCTGTTGAGACCCGCTAACTGAATGTTCTTGCATTTTATCCTAGTGTTTTTCTTTTGATGGAAGCTCAAACTCAGTACCTATTGTTTTGAATATCAAGAGGTTGTGCAACGGACTGCTAAGTAAGCAGTTTCTGATGCGATATTGAAGGTCATCCTTAAAACCTGACTTTTAAAGTTATTCCAGTTTTTTAACTACGGTATTAACTCTATAGTTTTCCGATTTACATGACTGAATTTCTAGCTTAATTCCTGGTGATATCGTCAAGTCTGGTCCCACTAAGAGCTGTTCAGGGTCTTCCCCCTCATTTTTAGTTTAACCTATTTTCTCCTCTAAGTAAGTGAATATATATACATATTCTCTAGCAACTACTACTGGAAAATACTAACCTCACAACCCTGATTTTCTTTACCCTGAGGACATACAAACAATTAATTCGATTGCAGCAACCATACGTTGCTGATTATGTGAAACTTTAGTTCGTTGGCTTCGATAGTCGAGTTTCATCCAAGTGGATCGTACCTTCGAATATGATTTCATTTACGGAGGTTTGATAAGTCAGGTTGTATCACTGGCCTCTGCACCATTGGTGTAACTTGGTCATTGAGTTACATTATTATCTACTTGACTTACTGATCATATTATTCCAACAACAGATTTAATACCTATTCCATCTTTAAATGAATATACAATATTCAAACCTTCCTCGGTCCTACTGCAGACCAAAAGTACACGAACCAGACATCTTTCTACTACCAATAGTCTTACTTCCGAAACTCCAACATACAACATACTAGGAGAACTTTCGAGAACACTGAAACACCTCGTTCAGTCTTGCGGACATTCCATCAAATCACTAATAGAATTCTTAGAAAAGATCAGAGGCATTATTATGGAAAACGATGAATTAATGGTATCCTTCGATGTCACAGAACTATACACATCCATCGAACCCCAACTGCCCAAGGAAACTATGTCTCTCTTGCTCAATGAAGACACAAACCTTTCAGAACGCACAAAACTTATATGTTGAAGTCTGATGGAACTCATTGACCTTTGTCTGACAACATACTTCCAATTCAATGGTAAGTCATACAAACAGATGTAAGGAACTCCAATAGGATCACTAATATCCGGACTAATTGCAGAAGCAGTGATGCAGAGACTGGAAGCCATCATTCTACCTGTGATTAGACCAAAAATTTGGATTAGCTGTGTAGAGAAGGTATCAAACAAACAACTATCATTCCTAGATATTTCAGTCACTAGGAAAAATGCCAAAAAAGCTAGAAACCCAAGTGTACAGGGAGCCAACTCACACTAATCGAATCCTCAACTACGGTAGCAACAACCCAACAAAGCACAAAGTTGGTTGAATCTAGAGCGAGGACTCACTGCAGTACAACAATTTCATGGAGAAACGAAGAAAGTTACTTGATGCCTCCATATTAAATTTGTTTATTTGATTTATAACACACAGTGATCTAGTATTATCTACTTTATGACGTTACGAGCATAAATTATTATTGCTCATATTCATATCAATGTAATCATACCACTTTCGACATTTGTTTTTCATAGTTACGTCACTTTATATGAGTTGTTTTTATTGGTAGCAAACTTTTCTGTATCTCTGGTATAGGTGTTGCGTCATTTCTATTACATGTGTTGGGTGGGTGTTGATTCGATGAACAAAGACTCAGTAATCAATCTCTCTGTCCACCTAATTATATTGTACTTAAGTACAATGGTTTTATCCCACCCTATTGTGTGGTTGTGTGTTAATGTATGCATAGCAATGGCCGAATTTTTTTCTACATTATTGATCTTATTTAGATGTGTTATTCTATACTTAGCTAAATTCCTATGTTCGGTTATTCTAACTGATTTCGACCGACTGGTTTGACCTATATACTTGACCCGACTCATAGTCATTATATGGTATTTGATAGATTATATTATTTTACTTAATTGGTTCTGACGGATCCTTAAGTCGACAAAGTTTATCTCTGAGTGAGTTTGTAGGTTTAAATGCCACCCTAATTCCAGCTCTGTTGAGGATTCTATGTAAAGTTTCTGAGGTACCCTCCTTATAGTGTAATACATGATGCCTATCCAAAAAAAGAATGGATACCCACGAAACTTTGTCAGAAGATGCCTATCCCGTGCAATATTAACTACGAAATCATCGACAAGGATCGGCAAACTGATCATCGTGCCGTACATAAAGAATATATCAGAAATTATGACAAAATTATTGCGGCCACTTGGAAGGGATGTAGCTCATAAACTAACAAATTCCCCCTAAACCCTATTATGCTGACCAAAGAAGGCAACGATCGAAGAAGACAAACCGAAAATCATTTAGAAAATCAGCTGCAATAATTGTGATCAACACTACATTGAACAGCGTGGTCGCCCTCTTCGCCACCTTTTACATGAACATCAATTGCCTAATAAACGTCACAACATTTAATCGCTCATTTGAAAGCGAGTGAATAACTATGGACATGAATTGAATTTTGGCAATGTAGAAATCTTGGACAGAGGAAACAAAGAATATCATCAGAGAATTCCTAGAATTTTGATATTTAAGTCAGTCAGCAATCAATAGATGTAAAGATGCGGACCCAATCTACCAACTAATAAGAAAAATGATAAACGACAGGAGGGTCAGAGGTCAAGCAAAGGAGCAGTCAACAAAAGAATCGACACAGTCAACGAGATAACAATTAAAGGAAACAACCAATCGCAGAACAATTCGTGACGACAAGCTGTTAAATCACTCACGAAGAGATGTTGACAGCTGACTTCACATCGAAGTTATTGCTGGTTTCGCTGTCTAGAAAGACGATGAAAGCTCCACGACTAAGCAACCCAGCTCAGGGAACACAATACAACCAAGAATATTCAAGCCCTATGACATCAAACACTCAAACGGTGCAAACTATTTACAAGGTTGATCTAAATTGTGACTGTTGTGGATGTAAACAGAACACTTATAACAATTAAAATGACAATATCTGGTGTGTCTTGTTACACCTGCCTGCTTAAGTGTTAAGCCAATCAGAAATAGATAACTGATACAATCATGCAACTCGACAGTCATGTACAGATCCATGTAGTTAATAATGATTGACATATATTGTGGGTGGAGATTCTTGTGTATTGTGTAGCACCCCAAATCTTGATAAGTAAGGTAAATGGTTAGTGTTTAAAAGTTTTTAGATGTTCAGGTTTCGAAACCGTCGGTGATTTAATAGCATCGTCATCAATGTACCCGCTGTTGTTATTCCAACCCGAGGAAAAGGAAATATAAGGCTCAAAGAAATATAATTGGTCAGATTATCTTACATACCTTGAACAACTTTTTACCTAAAGCATCTTTTACTGTTTTTCGTTAGCCGAATTTAGGAAGCCACATACTGGTTCCTCATTTATTATCGTACGATGTACGGCCGAAAAATAACTGTCTTCGTCTTATGCTACTCTGTTTATAGAACATAAATTTATTCTATGTTGTCAGCCTGTATTTCAGATATACATTTCAACACTAGTCGGATTGTTATTATTATAACAAGAATTATCAGGGCTAGTTTTGTCTTCTACTGAATGGAAGCTGGGACTAAATCATGTGCGAGTTAAGCATACGAAACGTTGCCATTGTATTTAGCATTAATTGTGTTCGGTTGACTGTTATAACCCTGTCGTTTTGCTGCGTTTCTGAAGCTCTTTAGTCACCTGCCAGTTTCCTGTAAGTTGCATAAAGTTTGTCGATATATTCTCTGAAGCATGCACTGACTTATTTCAGCAGATAAGGCTGTCATACTCCTTTGGCTGTGTTTGTAAGAAAGACTCGGTTGTATAAATGACAGTCTGAGATCTTGTATTCACTTTGAGCCATAGAAGTCTAGGAGTATCAAATCTTATTTACAAGGTACTCCGTTATGTGACAAATTGCCACTGTCGACACAAAATACTACTCCGATAATGTACCTCTAACCTGTGAATTTGTGTGGATTCGAGGTTTTCCAGTTGTTTCCTGGCTAGTAGTTGTGATGCCTGTAGATGAGTTGGCTTGCAGACAATCCTGGTGTCCATTTGCTCGTATGAACAAAAATTGTCTTTGATATACAAATTCACAATCATACAAAACAAATATCACATCTGATGTGTATGCGGAGCTTTGGACCCCTCTGTGTAATTGTTGATCCTGATGCTTGGGCCTGCAGTGGTACTCTTTGAGGACTTTTTTAACATATATTATGGTTGTTTAACCCTTCTTGATTTGAATGCCATTTTGATTTTTGTTTCTTCAACCAATCAGATATTTACTTCTCGATTCTTGTCATTTCTCTCGAAACTTAGGTGGAATATAATTGGTTCTAGATAGTGTTGGAGATTTTTGGGGTTTGTTTTTATGAAGATTATAGCACTCTTATTCGACATTATAACACCAGGATTATAAATGAATCAAAGTCACGTGATTCGCTCAAGTTATAGCAACCCGTGACTCGCTCTATGATTATGTTTTCCATTCCGGAAATTCTTCCACACAGTGTAAGAGTGAATGCACCCCTATTGGTTGAATGGTAATCTGCTCATCACCGTCGCTTATAAGGTCGATAGTTTGCTATGTAAAGTAGTTCGAAATTGTAAAAAAAAACACAGAGACAGACAAACTAACTTGGATTCTGACACAAAGGTGCATCGTTTTAATTTGCTGAGCTGCACATCAGCAAACGACGGCTAGCAGGAAAACGACTATACATTCGAGTACAACTTAGAGGTGACGTGGTCAGCGATACATTAATTCAACAACTATGCAGATACATTCAGAAAACATTTAATGCTTATAAATTCTAAATTTCGGTTTCCACATGCCCAATGGTGATATGAGACGAAAGATGAATTGCCTAGGTTGGTCACTTTTTTTATGCTTATCAGTTCAATTACTCCTGTGGTGTCAGTTATGTCGGCCACTACTCTAGGAATTTGATTTCCCGCACTCGTGAGCACCTCCCAGTGTTGTTAAGTAAAGGTGTAGTAAAGGCCATTACGAGCTCCACATTAACACACTCTGTTGAAACGAAGCATAAAGTGGATATGAATGGGGCGTTTTCTATTATGTACTGCGTTTCCATCACGTTGCCGAAAGGTACTCCGTTCAGGATCCTTCAAACTGCAGAGACAGTAGCAATCAGGGTCGTACAACCTCTACAATTACCGTGACGCGATTCGACATGCACAAACTCGTTAGCATCCTGACTCAGATTATCTAATTGCTTACTGTAGATACTCCTTCTTCCCTATCATCAACATCTTCCTATCGTCTTATCAATCTATCTCCTTATATTACCTAAGCGGTATAATCACTTAGTCTCTTATTTTGAGCTAGATCCCAGTAACAAATGGTTCTACCACTAACAGACTGATGAGGGGAATCTCTATATTGCTGACATGTAATTCCTCAATATATAAAGATAACAACAGAACCTGAAGAAGTTATCGAAAAGAATATTCTTTGTTCACTCAAACAACTGGATATAAAAAGAGTGATATTGAAGTAGACAAAGTGTATGGTAGGAGAATGAATTTCCGAGAAAAATGAAGCTCACTGAAAGGTTCAGACACTTAATGGTGTCAAAGAGTGAGTGCATCTGCACTCTCTGTTCATCTGTCTTTCATGATCTGTGACTATTATATGGAAAAGTGTTTGTTCACTATTCACTAATTTCCTTTCTCTCCCTGATCCTAATACCTCCACACTTGTTTATTTTCTCTTTCTTAATGATTTACATGTTGGTATGAGTCAAACTGGAGACCTCACAAGAGCGGAAGACCATTTACTATGAACCCCAATGTTATCCTTCACTTACACAAACGACTCTCCAGTTTATTTATTTGTCGCTTCTTAAGAATGCAGCAAAACTTATCATCGTTAACTATAAGATCGATAATTTACAGGATGACACACTAAACTGCTAGTATATCGGACTTTAAAGCAACGGAAATTGTAATACATAAGTTGTTATGTGGACAGGAATTTGTATAATTAGAAAACAAAGCTTATTTCGATAATCAATTGAGTCCAATAAGTATGTTGTGCGTCATCGTTGAAATAGAATCTGGTAACATAAATTTTTAGTAAATCTAGCCATTATTTTACTATTATAATCTATTTGAAATCGTTATCTAAAGTCCCTTCAGCTGGTTCTTGGGTAGGCAACCAGAAAGGACTTCCTTTACACACTTGAAAGTGACACTTACGAAGTGAATGAAATCGTATGATTTCTCTGGCTGATCACCCTGAGAACTTTTCTTCTCCAATTCTACATGAGCCAAAGTTTTATCCCAGATTATACTTGAACAAGTGAAACTTTTCTTAACCTCTTTCAATAATTCTATTTTACATGACTGAAGGTGTAAATATGCCTACAATCAAATGTCTGTAGTTATTTTCTTATGACCTACCTACTGTGAACGCGTCTCAAGATAGAGTGTCAGTTCATCGCGTGTTGAATCCTTGATAACCACCTGAGTATTTCACTAAAATCATAAATGATATAAACTCCTAAATGTCAACTTCTTTTTTTTAATTCACGGGAAACTTTTGTTGAAATCTTTTTCTCAAGAACAATAAGCAAACAGCCTGCAGTTGTATAGTGCAGAAAATAATGGCAAACTGCTTGATTCTGCCACTTTTATTTGCATTTATCAATTCAATTGAATTGAAGGCTCGCCACAAAGAAGTTCTAAAGTATAGTCTCAAAGACATCTTTGAGTTTGTTGAAAAGATTAAAGATCTGAAATGCGAAAATTCCCATTTAGACATTTAGTAAAACAAACAATGTGAGCGAAGAAATATTTCTTTTCAATTAGTTCCTCATCAATGGCTCTACACTAATATAGCCATTGATGAGGAACTAATTGAAAAGAAATATTTCTTCGCTCACATTGTTTGTTTTACTAAAGATCTGAAAGTATATAATGGTTTAATGATATCATGTGACGTTTCATCTCTTCTTACTAACATTCCTTTAATGTAGACGGTAGACTTTATTTGCAACGAACTTACTAAGCACGGTATGAAAATAGATATTTCAGTCTCCACACTGAAAGAACGATTTCTGAAGTGTATGATGAATGCACAATTCCTTTTCAACAATGAACACTACACGTAGTCTGATGGTGTCTCTATGGGCTCAACCCTTGGCCCACTCTTAGCAGATTTTTTTCTGGCAAAACCAGAGAATGGTCCACTAAACGAAACTACTAACCGGTTAGAATCATATTGTCGATAGATGGATGATGCCTTTATAGTTCTCAATATTGAGATTGATAAAAATGCTGTATTCATCCAGCAATTAACTTCACAATGGAAGAGGTAAAAAGTAACAATATCCCATTTTTTGATGTTTTGCTGGTAACAAGGTTAAATGGAACACTGAAACGAAGTACATATAGAACGCCAACATCGATACACACTTCTTTAGTGCCTCACCCCTCCAATACAAAAGGAACCTGGTCAAATGCCTAGTATACCACGCCACAGCAATTTGCTCAGATGAGGCTGTAGAGGGAGAGTTCGTCACCATCCGTAGGAATGGCTATCCGGCGTAGTTTGAAACTAATCATATGAAGGTTAGGAAGGTTAAGATAAGAATGCGAAAAATTCCTAAGAAGCAAACCTTCTTAAAGTTGAAATTTAAGAGTGATATTGACAGTGAGATCATCACACAGTGCATAAGAATAGCCTTACAAAAAGCATACCCAGCCGCTGAATTATGTACCATCTCCTGCAACCGCGTGATTCTACGTGCACGAAATAAAAACAAACTGCTTGTTCCTGCCACTTCTATGTCCATCTATTAATTCGACTGCTCATGTGGAGCTAGTTACATTGGGAGTGCAGTGATGCAGGTCCATCGTTGAATTTCTGAGCACCACGCATCATAGTTGAGCAAGGGTCAAATGAGGACAATAAAGAGCTCCATACTTGCACACCTAGTTGACACGGAACATCAAGTGGATACTAGAAAAGCCTTCAGAATTATTCATCACATTCCAATTAATTTAGCACATGGATTACACACTCACTTCACATAGCAGAGGCAATTGCAAACCACCTTTACAAAGCTGACCTTTGCATTCAAAAGAAGTTTGTTCGACTACTTTCATTACCGTGAGCGTCAACATGATGTAACCTCTAGTATTATCTTGTACACCTCTTCCCCATCTTGTTCCAGTCAATATTCATTAGTTTTCTTGTTATTACGCAATCACATATTGTTTATGACTGAACACTCATCAAAAATCACTCCATTTATCTATGAATAACCTGCTTCATATTTCCAATTTTAGTTACTCTGTTGATTAGCTACATCGAAATTTCTAAAACATCATCTTCGTGACATACTTAAAATGTCAATGATTATTGTTCACCGACTCCCCAGCACTGGATTGGTAATTTGATTGAATTGTAAAACTACATGATGGAGAATATTTGTAGCTCAGGTGGATGGTCTTGGTTGTATCGTGTTCTCTACATATTAGTATAGAGCTCAAGGCGAAGATCTATCTGAATAGGAACATGCATTTCTTCGCTTAATATCTTTTTTCTAAGTTTTTAAACGGAAATATTCAACTAGTTAGGTCATACTAGCCGGTTAGGGTCAGTTAGGTTAACGAAACAGGAATTTCGCTAAATGTAGAATGACAGACCCAAATAAGATTAATAACCTTGAAGAAAACTAACCTATTCCAATAAAAGCGTCAACATAGAATCACACAATAGGGCGGGATGAAATCACCGTACCCTAATCCAATATAATTAGGTGGAAAGAGAGAGATTAATGTCTGATTTGCTCGCTGTCCATCGAATCAACGCCCTAGACACGTAGTAGGAATGACGCAACCCTCATACCGATAATCTTAAAATTTTTACTATGAAATATCAGATGGGTGGTGGGACTGTATTGATCAGATGTTGAATATAGTCTGATTACATTGATATGTTTATGAGGAATGATGATTTATGCTTAAAGCTTCATCCAATACCTAATACTGTATCACTGTGTGCTGTATATCAATAAGAGAAATCTTATATGTTCATAATGTGGAATTGGTTTGAAAAATTATCGTTGAAATAGAATAGAATGTAAGTAAAGCTGAAAGAATTAAAGGGGATTAGTAATTATCAGAAATAGGAAACAGTGGAACATTGAACTGCAACCCACTGGCTTAATGTCAACATGAAACCTGTGAGATCTAACAATCCTGGGTTCACTTCTTAACCCGATCGTGGATATGTACTACTGAGGAATTCCATACTATGGCGAAACAGTTGTCCATTGCCACCAGACTTTCAATGGTTCTCTAAATCATGTCAGTCTGTGATGATAACCAACTTGAAATTGCCGAAATCATTTTAAAATGTTAGTTGGATATCACTCAGCATCTAATGAATGTGTACTATGTTTTTGAATTGCTGATTCCTGCAACTTGTTTACTTATTGATGTACATACACACACACACACACACGAATATATGCACCTAACTATTCTATGTCTGTTTTTCTTCTCTTTGTTTGTGCTTGTCTATGCTTTAAAGAATCAGTACATTTTATCGATTTTGAATATTGTGGATTCAATCATGCAGCATTTGACATTGGAAATCATTTCTGTGAATTCGCTGGTGAGTATTAGTGATTACTTTGATAAATTGAATACATTTTTTTTTTGTCAAGACGTTAATTATTATTTAAACAGTGAACTAATAAAGAAGAGACAAGACAACTAACTCCATGAAGGGTATTTTCCTTCCAACAGTTTAATTTAATACATCTGTACAATGGTATTTACAAACAAGAATTAGAAACAAAGTAACAATTAACCGATAGGGTCACATGATAACTATATTGTTAAGTATTAGGATAACATATTATTTCTAAAGACAGAGGGGAATAATGTAATCACTCACAAGTCATTATTATGACCATTGAAACAAAAAGAGACTGTATAATTAGTTTGAGGTTGAGTTGGTGGATTGCCAGAACTCTTTTCGTGCACAAGTTATGTATTTGTCCTCCTTTTGAACCATTCTATCTAACTTTATAGATAACTTAACTTTAAGAGATGATTCCAGTGGAGACATGTAACCTGAATGACTAAGAGGTTGAGTATTCAACTGTGTATAAATTTACTTTGACTGTTTGATATCCATGTAAGATAATATCTCCATACTTGGGCATAAAAACTATACCCATCGTATAAAAAAGGCTATCGTGACTTGATGGCCTAGTGGATAACGCTCTGGAGTTTGAAACGATCGGTTTCTGATCTGAGTCCTAGTGCAGCTGACGAGTCGCAAATAGGATGAAACGTGTGTCCTGGATTCCACCACTGACCTCTATCTATCATTAACATGTAAAATAATGTTCATAGATGCGCTTGGAGAAAGCATATTTGCTTCTGTTTGCATAAATGATAGAAAGAGGTAGATAAGTGGGAATTCAAACCATAGCTGAACCCGAAGTAGGTGTCTGTTTGACTTTAAGTAAGATACTCTGTCACATCTTGTCTATTAGACCTGATCGCAAAGCATGTTATATGTATGATTGCAGAGTACACTTATCAATCTGAAGATTTCTCTAACCAGATCAGACTTATTTAAACATTTGATGGGAGTTTCGTCTGTTTTGGTTGTAGCTAACAGTAGTGCGTCTAGAGTAATTCAGTTGCAAGAATTCCTTTGTTAATGCCTTGTGAATCTGATCACCTGGTCTAGATAAGCTAATATACTATGAATTTTATTGATAACTCGCTAGTTGCTTACAATTTTCAAAAAATACCCTCAACATCTTGTTTACTAAATGTTTCATTCTTTATAATGTGTCAATGAATATCGTATGATTTTACATTTAATCCGGTTACTGGTAACAAAGATAGTCTAATCAGTGACATCATCGATAATGCTTAGGTAGAGTAAGAAAGGTGAACTAGTTCATCATGTCAGGAACTTGTGTTAGGAGACATGCTACACCTACCGATCCAGTGTCTGCCAAGGTGTACAATGTTAGCTGAAGTAGGATTTACTTTAATGAACGTTACTGCTGAGTGGGACAAGATGTGGCACTACTCTATAAGCTTTCTAACTATTCGTTTAATGCAAACGTAGAAGAGTAGTTCTCCTGGATTAGGGTCCTTGAGATGCAAAAGAGTCTATGCTTCACGATCTTTGTTGATGCAAAACGAAATCAATCCAAATGGCTCAAATGTAACGATCCTTTATCATCTCCACATCTCTGAATACCATACTAAGTTTCATTTACTCATTTAATTATTCACTCGTGACTTACATCCTTCTTCTATCTTCTATCTGTCCGCAGTAGATAATGCTTATCTTACAGACAGAGAACATCAACGTTGAACCATGGAGACATCAGCATCGGTTCAAGTTGCCACACTTCACTGTAGTATTCAACGAATCACTGTACGGAAAGAGAGTGATATTAAGGTAGATAAAGTTGTGTAAGAGAGTAAACAAATTGAAAATTAAGGTTAATGTGACTATTCAAGCTTCAGAAGATGCCAAGGAGTGAATACGTCTACTTGATTCTGACCGACTCCCAGTCATGTCATCAAGAGTCAGTCCTCAACCGCTGATTCCTATTTTCTCGAGGCATCCCAACCAGGCAGTCTACATCTACCCACACGACTAAGACCATCAGTCAGAGACTTCATCGACTCATTCTACATGTTTGTATGGCCACTCTGAACCCTCTCTCAACCTGATCCAACTTTCCATTATATGGCCCATCAGGGTAGGCGGTGGCTTGGCATGCGTAATACATGTCCATATCCAAGCCATCTCAGCTGACTAAGATTCATTACCTTATCGACTGACTTGCCTCCTTGTCCTTCATACTTTTCGCCTGACCCCAACGTTGCTCACACAGTGATTTCACTATAGGAGAGCAATGCTACGAAGACACTTGTGATCAAAGCCTTATAACCGTTTCATGTCATCTACTTTTAATGGCCATGTCTCACAACTGTATAGTAGGACAGAACAGACTACAGCACAGTACAGTCAGATTATGCTTATCTTCGAAAGTTTCATCAAGTATTCAATGTGTGATCCAAGTTGTAGCTTATTAATACGTCGTATGTGAGCCAATAATGTGGGTTATTAAGGTGATTGGAGACTGTGAGCAACGTGACTGAGAATCGATCTCACTAGTATACACTCGTTCAGATATTTAGTCTAGTCATCATACAGACTTGAATTATTGTTTTATTTCTTCTTCCTCACTTTTCACCACTACATACTTCTCAGCTCAATTCTCCATGTTGCATTTTAGTGTTTTCTATCTTAATGCTTTGATGAGAGGTGTGCCAACCTGGATCTTTGCGCATTGATGCTTAATCCCATGTTGATATCAACTGTATGATTGGCTTATTAGATTTGTCATTGAGAAGGATGATATTTTATACTCGAGAATGTTTATTGTCCATAGTCAAACAAAGTGACTTTACAACTTTGAGAGTCGTAAAAGTTGTAGAATCTTCTACATTCTAGAGACAAGTTTTAGGTCATTTCAATAAACAACACTTCACTTGCACTAATTTCTTCATCCATGTAGCATAGTTAGTTTTGAAGACTATCACTCATCTATATCCTGTTAGATTAGCGTTTGACAACATACATAGGTATAGTTGTACTCTTGTCAAGATTTCTTATCTTACTCTTGGTCTTTCGGTTTACAGTTATTACTGGGGTCTTCATGCTTTGATAACGTGTAAAAAGATGCTATCGCTAGGAATAACATACTTTTTATAAGTACTTCTGAATATATATACCAAGGAATTCGAGAACTAAGAATCTTCGGTGGGTGCACTTGAAATCAAACAGATTCATTCGAGTATAATCTGCTTGAAATGTCTTCCTTCTTTGATAAACATTTTATCCAAGATCCTAGGGTTTATATATGTCCCACGCCTAAGTGGAGCTCGAAAACAGAAAACTCGAGAAAACAAGGACAAGGGTGTATCCGTCATATTTTCACTGTCTGACAGATCCCGGAATGCAGTCATATTTATCGGCTACCGAGGCTTGACATATTCCATATTTGATTTGTTTATTTGATTTATAACACACAGTGATCTAGTATTATCTACTTTATGACGTTACGAGCATAAATTATTATTGCTCATAATCATATCAATGTAATCACACCACTTTCGACATTTGTTTTTTATAGTTACGTCACTTTATATGAGTTGTTTTTATTGGTAGCAAACTTTTGTGTATCTCTGGTATAGGTGTTGCGTCATTTCTATTACATGTGTTGGGTGGGTGTTGATTCGATGAACAAAGACTCAGTAATCAATCTCTCTGTCCACCTAATTATATTGTACTTAAGCACAATGGTTTTATCCCACCCTATTGTGTGGTTGACTTGGAGTATGTAGACGATATTGTTCTGCTGGGTGAAGACTGGTGAAATGCAGGGTCTTCTAAACGCTTTGAACAGAAACATGGATATGTTTAGTACGTGTTTTGCACCTATAAAATGTAAGATGATGCTTCAGGAGTGGTCTGTTGTAAGTACTCCCAGTTTAGTGATAGTGAGTGAAGTAGCGGTATGCGTCTACCACTTTATTTACTTGGAGAGTTACATCAGCCTGCTGAACGGGTTGGTTACTGACGAAATCTCAGCCGGAATACATAAGGCCCGTTCGGCATTTGCCGACTGGCGAGATATCCGACCCTCTGTGAAGAGACGAGCATACGGTGTTGTAGTTCGTTTCGTCCTGCTATATACCTTTGAGGTTAGCCGTTAAAAGTAGAAGACATGAAGCAGTTATAGGGTTTTGATCATAGGAGTTTCCGTGCTTGTGTTTGTTGGAATCACCATGTGAACAATTTAGAGGTCAGGTGAAGGGTACTAGGCAAGACAGGCAAGTCGATTGATGAAGTTGTGAGCCTCCGTCGACTGAAGTGCCTTGGACATGCACTGCGCACTCCATGTTGGGGGAAGTTGGATTAGGTTGGGACGAGCTTCAGTGTGGTCAGGCTATAATGTGGCACCAGCCCATGAAGTCCCTGACTGTTACTGCGAGATCTAGACTGCCTTGATTGGGGTCTACGAGACGAGTTCACTAGTTACTAGCCGGTCCTAAGCCCGGGTAAAGAGGTAAGGTTGGGCATAGGGCTAACAACCCCGCCCCGTAAAGCCAATCCAATCGCTAAAGAAACTTCGAAGCAAATAAGCAGCGAAGACGGGACTTCAAGTGAACGTAGAGAAGACGGAAGTGATGAAGATACTCAACCATCAACAGCATAAACAACAAGAGGCACCAATCACCATTAACGGTAAAAATCTAAAGGAAGTAATCTCTTTCACCCAACTACCTACTTAGGCAGCATCGTTTCAACTACAAGCGGCACCGACGAGGATGTCAAATTTGAAATCAGTGTAGAGATCTACTGCACTCAGCATAAAGCGTGAACAAGATCCGGATTTTTAACACCAACGTCAAGTCAGTGCTGCTGTATGGTTGAGAGACTTGATGCGTCACGAAAAGCCTTTCCAACAAACTACAGACATTCATCAACAGCTGCAGTCTATGCTCACGCGATACTGAAGATCAGATGAATGGTCAGAAACAATAATCAAGAAGGAACTCTGG